TCCTCCTCCTCCTCCTCCTCCTCCTCCTCCTCCTCCTCTTCTTTTCCAATCCTTGTATTCCCTTTCATCATGATCTAGAATTTTATTCTCAGCCAGAGGCGATGCAGCAGGTCATGTGATCAGCATACTTCCTGTCACCACTAGCAAATGAGTTTAATCTGTGTCATGTACTGCACTGCAGTTACACTTTCGGGTGCCCTTGGTTTTGTGCCCATTCGGTCTCCAGTGCCGTTTGTTGGTGAATTCCTAGCTCTCAATCAGAGCCCAGGTATCTTTCTCAAGAATGTACTGTGTGCTGTTGTGTTTCTGTTGCCTCTGTCGTCTCTGCTTCTTCTTTCTGTGACAGAAGATGAACTGATAAATTGCATTATCTGTTAACAGCCTTAATTTCTTCGTGAGCATGAAAAGGAGTCGATTACAATATACCTTCGTGTGTTTTTTAATCAGACTTGAGAAAACTGTTCTCCTTTTAATTTTCATATGTTGTCCAATCTTCCTCATAGGTTGGGATCATTCTTCATTATTCTACCCTTGCCACGGTGTTGTGGGTTGGAGTCACTGCTAGAAACATCTATAAACAAGTCACTAAGAAAGCTAAGAGATGCCAAGATCCTGATGAGCCACCCGCTCCCCCACGGCCAATGCTCAGGTATCCTGAACCTTTGTTGTATCTCAAGTGTTCGTTAAATATTGTGTTTGCTTTAGTTGAAGCACAATCATAAGTTGTAACAGCAAGAAACATTGGTGTGGCTTTCAGAGGTCAAAGGAAGGACTTGTAAGCCGGACTGACTGGCCGTGAGTGTTATCAGCAGCCACATCTCCACTGTGGGTTGCTTGCAGAGCACGGAGGTGGGATTAGCTCTATTGTCAGTTCTATGGAATATTAGCTTTTTGAATTTTTTTGAGGTCATGTGTCATTGATCTTAATCTCAAGAATTAATTTCTTTTCCCTACAAACGACAAAATGAGTTTGGAGTTATAGATCCTTCCTACCCATTGTACTAAGAAGAGTTGTGAGTGGATTGATGGTGCTGGAGGAGTAAAACTATCAGCGGGGAGTGGGTTCACAGAAGGCCGACGACACCCCCTGCCCGTGAGTCTGCAGAACGGGCTGTGGACTGTGGAATACCTGCTCAGGCCTCTTGAAAGTAGAGAATTGCACATACAAAGAAAAGCCACTCATGTGGGAGGAGGGCACATGCCGAGCCACTGCCATGAGCCTGGCTTTGGGGTTAAGGTAGTGGTAGAGGTCCCCTGTAAATAAGGGAATAAACAGAGGAAGCTGAGATCTGTAGATTGCTGAGCCTAGGGTCTGTGGCCTGGAGGAGCAGGAATTCAGGCGGTAGTAGTCTGGTGGGGGCCTTGAGGTTAATTGTCCCAGAGAGAAGTCAGCTAGAAACCAAATAAATGATTTAAGTCCATCGTGGGGGAACCAGTGCATTTGTTAGATTTACCTCCATCAGCATGGGTGGCTTGGACAGCAGTGTCACAACTGTCCCACCCCAGCATAGGAAAGCTCCCTGATTGAATTTATGTGGAACTGGCAGGCGGCTACTTATTGAAGAGGTCGCTCTGCTTTAGGGATCCCTTACTGCCTGTCGTACCTCAAGGAACTTACCCCTGAGTTGTGTAAGTTTTGTAAAGTTTATGAGGATGTCCTGCAGCTGATGCCTGCCTCTCCCAGGAATGCATTGTTGCAGTACCGGCAGAGAGCTGCGCGGTAAACGAGTCGTGTTAAAATATGAATGGCTGCAGGAAATCTGTAACTCGGGAGGTGGCCTCACGGTGTCACTTTACGACAGTGTGGAGTATAGATTGGGATGCTTGAAAATAGGAAATGTCAGGGAGTCACTGGGGTTGTCCCTGCGAGGGCTGAAGCCGGGGAGTGTATGCTAGATGTGTGAAGTAGCTTCCATGGGATTGGCGACGGGTTGGGGTTGGACTGAAGAGGGTGAGGGTCAGAAAGTTGAAGGAGTCTGGATGGCTCCAGTGAGTTGGCCATCTCTGCAGATGGTGTTTCCTTCAGCTGCAAATGCTGCAGGAGGTGTAGCTGTGGTGGAAGGCTAAGCACGAGGGAGGCTTACCAGTGCTCAACCCAGTTCATCTCCATGTGCTGCTGGCACCAAAGCCCGGATAGTGAACAAGGTCTAGGGAGGAGTTAGAAGTGTAGTGATCCTGGGTCGCGTCTGTTTTCACGGGGTGGGCTGGGGGAAGAAATGGAAGAAAACACCAGGCAGAGTAGATAGCTCCAGAGCCCATCAGTTTGCTCACTCAGCCTGCAGAGTCACCAAAGGATGAGGACCGGTACCTGTCATTGTGTGAAGAATGTTGACTTTGCTGAGTGATAGTCCAGCAAATCCCATGCTCCTTCGGTCTTCCTCTGGGTTCTAAGAAAAACACTAAGCTTTAAGGAAAAGCATCATGAGACCCAAGCCCTAGGACACCCTGCCCCTGCAATGGCCAACAAACATTCCCTCTGCTTCCTGCGTGTAAGGCTGCTGCTTGCTCCCCCTGCTCTGAGTCTTGGGCTTAGTTAAGGCACCTAGCAGTGCTGCTGCATGCAGGAGCAGCTGGTGCATCACTGTAAGCAGGAAATGAGGCAGGTGATGGTACATACGTCCATGGGTGTGACAGAAAGACAGTAGAAAGTAGCTCAGCCAGGAAAAGACAGAAGATAGAGACACTTGAACATGTGTATAGCAGAGCAGAAGAGACAGTGAAGAAGACCTGAAGACCCGTAGTTGCAAGCGAGGAACTGTTAACAGGACATTACAGGAGGTGTAGTGAGGCAAAGCAAATGTGAAAGGAAAGCCTGTTTTCAAGGAAAGCCGGCGGGAATTGGTGTGGCAGGAGTAGGAGGGCCATAGTTCTTGGCATTCACTGTAAGTGAAACGTGGAAGGCGTAGTTCCAGACTTCCAGGGCAGCTTGTGACTTCAGCAAACTGATGTCATATTTGAGATACTTGTAACTGAGTATGATGAAGAAAATGTTTCAGACATGCTTTTCACGTGGGCCACTCATGATTTAGAGCAGCTTTTCAGAAACGGGTAATAACAGGCTTCTGGCTGTCCTGGGTGATCTGGACCTGGGACAGCAAAGCCATTTTAGTGGGTAGGAGGATTCAGATGCCCTAGCTACAAACAAAGCTTTTCTTGGCAGGATTAGCAGTGCCTTGTATACCACAGTTCCTTAAAGGAAACTAATTTATGATTGTGTTTCTATGTTTGCGTGTGGTTGTCGGTGTGTGTAGAGGCCAGAGGACAGCTGTGAGTGCCATCCTCAGGAATAAGGCTGGACTAACTGGCCAGCATACCAAGGGATCCGGATCTCCGCTTCCAGCTCAACAGCATGGGAATAGAAGTGTGTGCCACCATGCCCAGCCTTTACATGCGTGCCATGGATCATACGTAGGCTCTCCTACTTAGAAGACAGACTCTTTATCAACAGAGCGTTCTCCCCACCTTCCTTTGTTCTTATTTTCAACTGTTTGCTCCACAGGGAAAGAGACAGGTTTTTGTACTCTGGAAGCTTCTGGGATCCTGATGCCCTCCTTGTTCTCAGTTTGTGGTAGAGATCTTGGTTGAGCGTGAACCAAGCTCTAACACATCACCATATTTTATGTGTGTGACTCTTAAAAGTTGCCGTGTCATAGACTGACATTTGTAGTTCACCAACCGAATTTAATGGAAGCCTCTTTCCCTGAAAACACAACCAGCTAAAGCCTTACCTCGACCCAAGTGTTCTTCCGCCTGGCCACAGGGGGGCAGCAGCTGACCAGCTTTCTTCAGCTCAGAGCCTTTCTGCAAAAGAAACAAGTCAACAAAAAAGCATGGCAGAACAAAAATGCCAAAAAAAGCGGGGGGGGGGTCATTTAAAAAAGCAATTACTGAAAGTTGTCGCAGAGTGCTCCTAGAATGAGAGTAATTAGCCTCCACAGAATGACCTGTGAAGTGTTTCAATGTCGTAGTAGGTCTGTGGGCCTTATGGACAAGATAACGAGCCACTGTTTCTCCTAGGTTCTACCTGATTGGCGGCGGGATCCCCGTCATAGTGTGTGGCATCACTGCAGCCGCGAACATCAAGAACTACGGCAGCCGGCCTGGTGCACCCTAGTGAGTACTGTGTTCTCTGTACGCCCGAACCCACTGCTTCTGGAGCAGTTAGTTTGTAGGCACCGCAGTTGGTGGCAGCTCCTAAGTGCTTTGCAATGCAGAGTGTCTAAGCTCATTCCCCGTGTTCTCTCCTAGTTGCTGGATGGCCTGGGAACCGTCCTTGGGCGCCTTCTATGGACCTGCCAGTTTCATCACTTTTGTAAACTGTATGTACTTTCTAAGCATATTTATTCAGCTAAAAAGACACCCTGAGCGCAAATATGAGCTCAAGGAGCCCACAGAGGAGCAGCAGAGATTGGCAGCCAATGAAAATGGTGAAATAAATCATCAGGACTCCATGTCTTTGTCTCTCATCTCGACATCCACGTTGGAAAATGAGCACAGTTTTCAGTCTCAGCTTTTGGGAGCCAGCCTTACTTTGCTCTTGTATGTGGCCGTGTGGATGTTTGGGGCCATGGCTGTTTCTTTGTATTACCCTTTGGACTTGGTTTTCAGCTTCTTTTTCGGAGCCGCATGTTTAAGCTTCAGTGCCTTCATCATGGTGCACCATTGCGTCAACAGGGAGGACGTGAGACTTGCCTGGATCATGATGTGCTGCCCAGGGCGGAGCTCATACTCAGTGCAAGTCAACGTCCAGCCTCCCAACTCGAGTGGTACTAATGGAGAGGCACCCAAGTGCACCAATAGCAGTGCAGAGTCTTCATGCACCAACAAAAGTGCATCCAGCTTCAAAAACTCTTCCCAGGGCTGCAAGCTGACGAACTTGCAGGCTGCCGCAGCGCAGTACCACAGCAATGCCTTACCTGTGAGTGCCGCACCCCAGCTGGATAACAGTCTGACAGAACACTCAATGGATAACGACATTAAAATGCACGTGGCTCCTTTGGACGTGCAGTTTCGAACAAACATGCACCCAAACCGCCACCATAAAAACCGAAGTAAAGGACACCGGGCCAGCAGACTCACGGTCCTGCGAGAGTACGCCTACGACGTCCCAACGAGCGTGGAAGGAAGCGCGCAGAACGGCTTACCTAAGAGCCGGTCGGGAAACAATGAAGGACATTCAAGGAGTCGGAGAGCTTATTTAGCCTATAGAGAGAGACAGTACAACCCACCCCAACAAGACAGCAGTGATGCTTGTAGCACACTTCCCAAAAGCAGCCGGAATGTTGAAAAGCCTGTTTCAACTAGTAGTAAGAAGGAGACGCCGAGGAAGCCAACTGCGGCTGACCTTGAAAGTCAGCAGAAATCTTACGGGCTGAACTTGGCCGTGCAGAACGGACCAGTTAAGAGCAATGCACAGGAGGGGCCTTTGCTAGCTACTGACAGTACTGGTAATGTGAGGACTGGACTATGGAAACATGAAACGACTGTGTAGCGTTGTGGGGGCTTCCCACACAGAGTCGGCCCAAATGTGATACTCACATTCCTTTAAGCTACGAACTCTTAGAGACAAACTGTTTACAGCCGCCTTAGGGATTCAGAACATCCAAATATGCTTGTGAGTTTTGGGATTTACTTATTTTATATTCCTAAATTGTCACCCCCTCCTCATCAAGAATTAAAAAAAAAATCCTTTAAAACCTTGTTTGACTTGTCAAAGCACCAATACGATATTTTGGAAGTTGAAACTATAATTTCTTAGAGATTGCTCTGTCTACTTAACATTTCAGGCTTGTATTTAATGAAACAAATAGGAGCTTGGTTTTGTGCCGATGGTTTACTTCTACATTGCGAAAAGCATTTTAGGAGCTGGTAAGATAGCTCCATGGGTTAATGGTGCTTGCCTCCAAGTCTGTTAGTTTGTGAGTTGTAAACCTAGTGCCCATAGGGTGGATAGAGGAAAGTCTCCTAAGTGGTCCCCTGGTCCATATGTGCCTCCACCCTTACCTGTATATACACACAAATAAATAAATGTAATACCTTCTAAGAGCATTTTTAGCTCTTATTTTAATAAAGTTTTTGTAGTGGTGTCTTTTCAAGGTGAATCAGGCATAAATAAATTATCAGATGTACTGTTGGTTCAACTATACTGATTAAAGCGTTTATGTCTGGGGGATTTCTGAGTTGAAGTTTCATAAATACAGTTTTAAAAGTTATAAGGGGTGAAAATATCTCACAGAATGGTTTTTAAGAATGGGAATACTGTAGGAACCTGTGTGTAAATCGCATAATTTTGCCATATCACTTTTACTGGTTTATATTTCAATTAAACTTTCTTTTATTTTTTTTTCTTTTTCCTTTTCCTCATTTTCTTTTCTGCTCATGTAAGGATCTCATGTGTCTCAGGTTGACTTCCAGATTGCTATATACCTGTGGATAACCTTGAACTCCTATTTTTTTCTCCACCTCCCAGTTGCTGAAATGACAAATGCATAGCACCAGGTCCAGTTTATATAGTGTTGAGAAGCTCTTGGAACACTGAGCAAGTATTCTCCCAACTAAGTCACATTCGTGGCTGTGAGTTAACTTTCTTAGTGGTTGTTTTGGTGTGCCTGAGGGTCCCACACGTCTGCTGTTTGTTGAATATGCAGGAAGCTCGCATGTGAGACTCACATTCTTTCTGGAGTCTCCAACCAAGATTAGCCCTATGTTGACTTATGCTTTGTGCCAAACTGAAAGTAGTTTTTGGTCCATGCTAAAGTACTGTCCTTTATATTCCATCGCAGCGGGAAACAATTCTGACACAGAAACATCATTAGTTGTCAGAACTCTCTGGTACCCAGTCCTACCAGGTTCATTTTCTGTGAAATACGATGCTGGGGAAAAAAAAAATCACACAACTCAGCAATCGAAGTCTCCAGTTTGATTGAATCCAATCAAACTCAACAGCACATACTCAAGAAAAGAGGCAAGCAGCTTCCCCTAGGTGTTAACCACAGAGACAGTGACGTGCTCGTCACTGCGGGCATCCTCAGCCACATTCCAGACCGACCCCTCAGCACCACACTAGTCTTCATAGTCATGGTGTGCGGCTGGAAAAACAACTGGTTTTGGTTTGCGATAATACAACTGACACTTCTGTTCAAGCCTTTATTGTATGTCTTTCTGGCGGGGAAACAAGGCAAGCGGCCAGGAGATTGCTGTTTGCACCCTCTGTCTACTTTTCAGCCAAGTATTGGAAAACTACAGTAGCCGAAGAGCGGTGAATGGTTCTTTTCTTATTACCTTTTTGCTTTTCCGATAACCCTTGGTGTGCGAGGTGAGTGCTCAGCCCGTTTTCCTGTGTTGCTGCTCCGCTCTTGATGAGAACTTCACTGTTGTTCCTTCTCTACCGCTCCGTCAGAAACAGGCAATTCACTTGCCATTCAAGGGTGTTACGAATTTAAACAACTTTCTTCAAGTAACAGGATGGAGGGATTATAAAAGAAGCCATACAACTGGAGAAAATGGGGCTTCCACTTTTTAAATTGGGTTTTGTTTTTTCTTGAGCCAGTGTGTTATGCTATGTAGTTCCGGTTCACCTTGAGTTCTGCATGTAACTAAGGATGACCTTGGTGGGTACCTCCTCCTCCTGCCTCCTGTGTGCTGTGAAAGATTTCAATATTGAGTGACAGTCTGGGCTCTGCACTCACATTGGCCTAAGTGGGGAAGGTTGTTACCACATGGAAAGGGATGAGTGTTGGCTTTCTGCATCCTTTGTATTTGATGGAATTAAAATTTGATGTTCATGTATAGGGTATGAATAATGCATTCGGTTTACCCCCACCTTTCTCATTCATGATTTGTGGATTGTTGCTGGCTGAAATTTTTCTATTTTTCATAGAATTGTAACCTGTTAACAGGTATTTCAGTCTTAGGTAGAGGTCAGCACTTCATTTTTCTTACTAAAAAGAGTTGAGAACTGAAATTCACCAATTTCTGAGTTTTTGGATTTCTGTTGAGTTACGCCATCTCTGGGATGAGGGGCAAAGATCTTTTCTAATGGTGACGCTCTTGTACTTAGTGCCACCTTTGGTTCTATGGGAGGTTGCTATGTATAATTTCATCAAACTACACACACATTGTAGTTGCTCTGAATGTTATTTTGAAGCATAGTTGGTAATATTTAGGGGAACACAAATGTTTATTTTATTCCATGAAAGTCAATCTTTAAACCATGCCATATAACAAGAGTTATACATACTATATGTACTTTATTACATTTTATTTTTTATTTTATGTTGAGGTGACATGAGTGGAAGTCAGAGACAACTTTAGGAGTTGATTCTTTCCTTCCACCCTGTAGGCCCAGGGTGTCAAACTCCGGTTGTCTGATTTAGTGACGAGTTCTTTACAGTCTTGAGCCATCTTGCCAACCCCATATTCCATACTGTTTACCCATATTTATATAACTCAGTGTTCTAGTGACCTACGTTTTAAGTTAAGAATTAGAAACATTGGTCTTTGTATGAGTACTTTTGCATATAAGTACTAGAATCAAATGCTGAAGTAAATGTGTTTAATATTTTAGATGATTAATAGGTGATTAGCTGATTTCCAGATTTGTGCTATTTTGCATATCCATAGCAGCATAATCATGTTCAGTTTATTTATATAAATGGTAGATGTAAATGGGAAGATATGTCTAGATGCTGATGGGGCTCATTCTGGAGGAATAATGCTGTTTGACTTGCGTGTTTCATGAATTGAATTCATAACACCCCAACCAAAGTTGGTTGGAAACATAAAAATGGAAGAAGG